GGTCTAGATTATATATATATTTACTGTCCGAAAAAAACAAACGTGTATTGTTCTAAAATATGAGTTATTATGCTCTCTCTAACAGCAGAGTCTCGGGAGTGGCTGGCTCATCATTAACAGATGAGTCCTAAAAATGAGCCTTATTGGGTCATTCCGGAGCGGTAAATCCTCAGGATAAATAGTTCTGTAAGTCTTCAACATTGACGCCAATCTCGTTAATTTTACCGAAAACATCTTAGATAAAAGCTCTCGGTCACACGTAAGCACCAGATCACGAGTGGGTTCACCATACTACCCAGCCCTTGGAACTACTAGCCAGTTTCGATCAAACACATCTCAACATATCGCCAACCTTCCAAATACATCTTCGACTTCTCCGCTGACCTCTGATTTGTCCTTCTTGGTATCCTTTGATAATAAAAGTATTACGAGTAAAGCTGTTTTCAAACTCTGAATATCTGTGGCATCTTTGGTGGTGGGTCTAACGTGATAAACTGTGTATCTATTCCTTATTGTAAAATTAAATATTTTTTTACTTCGACATACCGTGGTATAATTTTTGTTTTCTTGGATCGCTTTTCGCCCATTTATATATTTTGTCCTCATCATGACAGAACGGACAACCTAACTGTTAAAGATTTAGAATCTTTTGCCTCTCTCCTTCCAACCTAAGCCATTCTAGTCCGATAAAATCGAAGGCTCGTTCTGCTAATAGCAAAGTGACTTTTAGGGACACAGCGTGGTAGATTCATGTCGGTAATTTCTCAGGGTACTGATGGTACTATTGCGCGATTTTGACAGATATTTCACACTTATTGCATCCATTAGTGATTATTTTGAACCTCACGACACCTTAAGAATGGTTATACAAACACGCAGTGACTAACCGAGGTTCATCAACTTTGCCACAATATCGAACGGCAACATGGTTGAGCAGCAGAAGTGTTGCCATGCATACGAAAGGTTGGCAGTCGACGGGATTTCGACGATAGCCTCCTTGGAAAACTGTTTTTATTTAAGCTTCCCCAAAATATTCAAGCAGTCCTTGTCTCGGTTCAAAATAACTCCGTCGATGGACTGCATGAATCTACCGAACGGATACTGGAGATTATCAGAACCCACTGCGATGAATTTTGTTCTGCCAGGGAAAAAACTCAAACAACACAAAATGGTAATACAAATCTGTCATACTCTCTCTCGTTATCTTAATATACATAATTATCCCCAACGTTCAAAAACTCCATTAAGAACAATGTTATCAAAAGGATTTGTCTCTTGACACCAAGAGACAGATTGCTCCGATCAGTAGTTGTATCGTGACACTCATTGGAATTCTTTTAGAAATTGTGGAGAACCTTCCATCATTTGAACGCATTCCACCAAGTTTCATGTCACAACTCATTGATTCCTATTACTGTATTCTCTAATCTGAGGGATCTAACCACATTTCACTCTAGCAACAGCAGCTAGTATGGGTTTTATTTATTAACATGTCATACCTATGTCTGCTCCACTACAAAATGTTAAGCATTGTCTAGGTTTTATGTACAAGTGCCTTGTTGCTCCTTTGTTTATCTTTTGTTCAACATCACGACCTCAGTGCACAGCTATGGAGCTTACAAAACCTGGAACAAATTTAACACACACGCTTTCCAAGATCACAGCTCATGCCGAGTGCCCATTGAAGGCACATTATAACAACCACAAACTTTTTCAACAGTTGCATTGCATAAATACTCAGCACAGCCAGAATTCTAACACGATCATGCCGAGTTTGAATTTGGTGTTCAACGTGGACGTGATGCCATTTTGGGAAATATTTTTGAAAGGCTGTACTCAGTGTAATACTAAAACACAAAACTAGCAATTAACGCTCTAAGACATCTACATCGATGTACTGTCTTTTATTTCTGTTTATTTCAATTATTTGACATTCCTGATTGGTAAGCATTTCATATGCAATCCAATGTTGTAAATTATAGATAATGTCTGTAGGAATGATGTGTATCTGGCCTGGCAGAAATATGCTTTGATATTATTATATTACATTATATGTCACATAGTAAAGTTTCTTACCTGTTACCATCTGTTTAACACGTAATTTCAGGGTTGTCGAAGATAACTCATGTTGGTGGTCAATGACTTCTTTTCGAAGTTGGGTCAGTTTAGGAAAGTCGATTGCGTGGAGATTATTTAAGAATGGCATACGAGACGAGGCGTCTGCAACTACATTATTTGCCCCAGATATGGGTTGTACATCTGAATTAAACGGAGAAATGTCATCCAGCTGTTGTGACTAATGAGGGAAGCATTTGCCTTGAGACCAGATTAAAGAAAGGATGAGAGGTTTGTGGTCGGCAGTGTGAATGCTCTGCCTTCCACAGAGTGTTGGAATCGCCGCAGAACATAACACAAAGCTATGTGTTTCCTGCCGAAGTTGCCACACCTCAATTCAGTATCTTCCAGCTGTCTCGGGAAGGATATCAAAGGTTGTCATGTGTTGTTAACCGATTGTTGTGAGACTCCTCCGATCACCAAGTCAGATGCGTCTGCTGCGATACCAGTAAGTGCTTTGGCATCCTGATGTGTGAGCATTGTTGCTTTTGTGATAAGTTCCATAATTGTGGAGAATGGCTTTTTTGCGACGTTGTACAAATTGATAGGTTTCGCGTTCCCACGAATTTAGTCTGTTAAGGGTCTTAATTCGGTGTGAACCATCTATGTAAACCTACCAGGTTGTTGACAGTATGTAGCTCCTTGGCTGTAGGTGGTTATGGCTAATCTAGAATGCACACCACTTTGCTTTCCGGAGGTCGGAGCATCATCAATGTTTGTGATATTCTATGCCGTTGGTGCCAATTTGACATTTCTGAATATCTACAATAATATCGCGTTTTTGCAGCTGTTCTAAAACGATGTCGAGATGGTGACTAAATTTCCTCCATGAATTGGCGATTAGGTAGCTATCTACATATGAAACCTCTAAAAAGACTTCATCGATCAGTCTGCAACATTTCTTAAACCGAATGGCATAAGTGAAAATTCGTTTAGTTCAAAGAGGATGGTGAATGTGCTTTTATGAATATCGTCATCAGCCATGAGAATTCTGTCGTACTTTTAAATCAAGTCGATTTTCAATAAACAGTTGTATCTTTCAAGGTAGTTGTGAAATTTCGAATGTGAAGTAAAGGCTAACGGTCGGGAATGGTTTACTCATCCAGTCCCCGATAGTCACCAGTTGGACGTCAACCATTTTTGTCCTTTTTAGTGACAATGTGAAAGGGCGATGTCCATGGGATGTTTGATAGTCGAACAATTCTTAAATCACTCATGAAGTCGAATTCGTTTTTGACCAACCTCAGCCTTTCGGAAATTAGTCAAAACCCTTTCGAGAATACATGTGATCGCGCAGTCGAGATGTGATGTGCAACGTTGTTGGTTGCACATGGCAATTTTAGTCGCGTTTGGTATAGCTTGGGGCACTTACCGAGTATCCGTTTGCAGTATGCCTCGACTGTGTGGTTAAAAATGTCTGGGGATAATCTAAAACTGGAAAAGGTCAACCAAACAAATAAATCAGTATTTTCGTCTATTTACCACCATCTGCGCGTGTCAGCAAGTAGATTAAGGTGTTGTAGCAGGTCCATACCAATGATTGGCGTAGAAACGTCCACAGCAACCAAAATCCAGCGAATGAGTTTAAGTAAATTCACGTTAAGATACAGGTGCTGCTTACCAAATGTAATGATCGGTTTCTCGGTTACCGCCTGTAAGTTGGAGACTGCTTCATGCTGTCGGTCGTTAGAATTTGCCAGAAGAACGCTGACTTTGAGCCAGGGACGACACGGTAGCAACGTTTTGTCACCACACGAGTGATAAATAATAGACGGCTAAGTTCACCGGCTGTGATTGTCGTCAACACGCGCCGGCCGATAATTTTTTCGTGTCTATCGGTTTGAACCTCGTGAAGTTGAAGGGTTTTCTGCAGTTTCTAGATACCAGCATCAATCAAATTTATCTGTCTCTCATAATGCAGAGACATCATTTTCGTGACGAGTTTTTTAAGGAGTTTTGGATTGTCTGCGGTCATGACGAATGTTAAGGTAACATTTCAGAGTATGATTTAGGTTTGTGACGTCGTTTCGTGTCGTTTGAGGCTTTTCTTTGACTGAATAGACCTCGACATTAGAGGTTCTGGTGAATTCAGTTGGCAGATGTGGCCAGCTAATCTTATGCGTTGTTTTGAAATAAGACAAGCATCGTCTGCACCTGTTGAGGAAGTTTAGGCAGGAAAAGTCGTCTGAACGAGCCCTCAACAAAGGTCCGGTGACCAAGGAGGAGGACATGAAAACTATCACAGGGTGAAAAAATGAAAGCTAAAAATGATATATAATCTTCCAACAAGAGACAAACTCACAGTTTACGAATCGGTATACAAGATCACATCGGGCTCACCACTAAAGACGTCTTAACTAGTAACTCCTTTATAATCGAAGTATGCCACCTCAATCAAATCATGAGTCAGGAGTGAAGGCGTTAGAAGATATATTTAGAACGCTATAGGTATGTTTAAGATGGTTAGTAGTTGAAAGGGATGCGTAGCACGACGTACCCACTAGTGATCTGATGCGGATGAATAACTAAGCGTCTTCAGCTAGGTGAGTCCATTAAAAGTAATGCAGTCAGCACCAAATGTTGGAAACCTACAGAACTATTGATTTGGGGGATTTATTTACCACTACAGTAGAATGGACTGTAGTCACAATTTTTATTCATTAAGAGTGATTAAATCCTGGAATTCGCTCCCGGATGAGCTGGCTCAAAAAAGTTCCCAAGAGTTCTCTATGAGGAAACTTGACATATTTTTAAGGACTATGGTTAGTATCTCGCTATAGTTTACTAACGTTCTTTTCCTTTTATCGATAAGTCCATAACTGAAAGCACTAGTGAACCAGTGAACTAGATACGGAAGCCTGTAAAGCGAAAGCTTCCTCTATTCCATCCACATCTTTTTGAACCGTCTAGACCTTGAGGTTTGCGCGGTATTGGTAACAGCTGTTGTCACGTATTGGTTTCAAGGTAAGTTCGTATTCACACTTCTAGACCTTTTGTATTCAATTAGAATCGACTCAATAACTAACACTGTACTTCTTAATAGAAACTTGTGTTTTTTTCCGGTCTATTTATTTTGTCGAGTTAAGAAGCAGCAGAATTTTCCTAACACAGTTAACACATGTGTTAGAAATAATGAATGTTAGTGTCTGGTTTACTAAATCCTCATTTATCGGAGCATATCAATACTTACTTGATCCGTGTTGCACTGAAAATATAGAAAGTCATTCGAGCTGCTTGTTTTCCATCATGACCCATGTACTATTTTTATTGTTTTGGGACTGGGAGTTAATCAGCTTACGACCTATGTTATTCCTTTTCTAGTAAGCTTCTGAGAGTGTCTAGTTTTCTCTTGAATGAGTCAATCGAAGGTGCGAACACAACTTCTCTGGGTAACAGGTTCCAAGAATTGATGATTCAGTGTGAACACCTATATGCCACGGGTATTTTGTTCATCCTTGGCCTTTCTACTCGCCTGCTATGTCCTATGAGATGTTCCGATCTAATGAGAAGTAAAAGAGAGGGTTTATCTGGTTCAAAGTCATTTCCTAGTATTCTATACATCGAAATCAGATCACCTCTTTATCTGCAATAGTTAAGTGTGAAGAGGTTTAGCTTTTCAAGCCACTTTTTGTATGGTAAACCCCGGACTTCTGGAATTGCACGAGTAGCTGCCCTCTGTACTTTTTTCAGGATATCCGAGTCACCTCTTGAACAGGAGCTTGTAGCCTAAATGCAGTTTTCAATCCTAGTTCTCACTGAGGTTATGTATACTGCAGTGAACATGGTATTATCTAATTTGGTGAATATCCGTCTTAAGGCCCATAGGGTTCTAAACCCCTTAGCTGCAACCTCCCGTTAGTGGGCCGTGGTCTTAATATCATAACGCACTGTCACCTCAAGATCCTTGTGAGACCGGGCCACGAGTACAGACACTTCTCGTATGCTTTACCTATTTACCTTTGTATCCCCAAAGTGCATGTAGGCACACTTTACCACGTTGACAGGCATCACCTACTCTTTAGACCAGCTAGTCTCAATATTTAAGTCCATCTGAAGTGCTCATGCATCTGCGTCTCCTGATATTTCTTGCCGGATTTTTACGTCATTAGAGTATAGTAACATTAGTGAGTTAACTATACTTAGATCATTTACGTACAATACAAAAAAATAAAGAACCTAGGACAGAACCTCGTGGTAATCCCCAAAGTACTGGTCTCCAGGTGGAGCACTTTGATTTTACTTTTACTTTCTGTCCACGACCTACCAGGAAGTCCTTAAGCCATTTTAGGAGAGGCCCAGCAATGCCTAGATTTTCCGGCTTAAATGACAGCCTATTTGTTGGCACTTTGTAGATTGCTTTGCTGAAGTCTATGTAGGCCACTTCCACTGATTTCCCATTGTCTAGAGCATTTACCCATTTCTCCCTTGCTATAAGGAGGTTTTTGTGCAAGATAAGCCTTTTTTGAAACCATTTTGTTCAATGCTTAACAAGTTATTGGTTTCCACGAATGTCGTTATGGTCGTTTTGACTATTCTTTCTAGTATTTTAACTGCGACACTAATGAGGTCGACAGGTCTGTATTTCGATAGTTGTCTTGGTCCTGTTTTATGTATTGGAGTAACGATTACATCCTTCCAGTTCATAGGTAACACACCTTGGTCAAGTAATCTATTCAATATCACAGTCAGTGGGGCTGTAATATATTTTGCGATTTGTCTTAGGATTTCGGAGTGCAGTTCGTCCGGTCCTGTTGAATTTTCCATGTCTAAGCTGCTAAGAGCCTTAAGTACATCGAAGTCCACGGTGAGCAGGTGGTTTGTTGACTCCGTATTTTGGTCTGGTTCTTTGTCTAGAAGAGGTTCCTGAGTGAAAACTGTCCCAAAATAGTCAACCATAGCCTCTGCTTTTTCCTAATCTTCCTCTATCATTTCAGACCCTCTCCGTTCCTTAATTAGGTTGAGAATCTAATGTTGCATCCTTTTTCTGTAATTTATGTACGAGAATAGTCTTTTACGCTGCCTGATTGCAGATTGTGCCAACTGCATTTCGTATTTTCTCTGAGCTTCTCGGATTTTAATTATACACTTATTTCGTATCGACCTGTAGAGTTCCATAGTACTTTCTGTGTCAAGGCTGATGGCAACGTTCTAACATTTCTTCTTTTGTCTTATTAAACGTCGAATATCCCGGCCTATCCTAACAACAAAAAGACCTTAAAAACTCTAGATACAAACAATACTAAAAGATATACTCAGCAAGGAAAAATATACCAGTGCCTTATTTTTTGTGTCTGTACTCAAAAAGTACAGATGAAAAACTCTAGAAAAAAAGCGATACTCTTGGAAATTACTTTAACTGAAATAAATTCTATTAAAGCAAAAACAGTGGTCTTGATGCGTAATTAAACAATCAATACTACAAAATTTACTCAAACGGAAAGTATCACTGCCCCTTTTAAGTAGCGCGTTAGATAATCTCTGCACACTTTACAACTCAAAAAGCTAAATAGGATTGGTCATATTAAATTCATAGTAAGTAACTAAGTATTTGTAAATCTCATCATATCACTACTTAAATGTTTTTGTTATACCTTCCCCAGACGAAATAAAATTCCTCAGAAAACTGGTAAGTAGCAGCGCTTATCAAAAAGCAAGCTCGATCTATAAACTTTAGCACATCATGAATTACGATGGTTATACTAATATTTACCACCCCAGTTCTCAGCAACCAGGATACTACAACCCGTCCGAAATGTAAGTCAAAAACGTTCATTCCTATTATTTTTGGTCAGGAAATTATTGGTATATACTCAATGTTTGCTAAACGATCTGACAGACGGATGAACGAACCATATACAACAGTATCGCACCTATCAAAATTACTGCAATTCGTGCTCTTAAGCCTGTTACTCTTTGTGCTGTATTGACCGCCGACCAGGGATCTCCAAATAAGTCTGTGCTCCGCTCTTTTCCAGATGTCACCGTGTGGCACTCCCGGTCTTAATGCCTGCCTCCGATTCTCGGCATCGTATGTCCCTTGGTTTGCCTCCTTGTTTTTCACATTGGGGATTCCACGTTAAGTTTTACCTTGTGATTCAGTTTGGTAGTTTCTGTCGTTAACTCTGTCCACCTTATTTGTCTTTTCCTAATTTCCCTCTCAGATGGTGCTTAGTTTATTCTCTACCGCATTGAGTTATTGTTGGTTGTCTCTGGTTAGTGGATCAGGGTATAACGTCTACAGCTTTTTGAATACCTGGACTCTTTTGGTAACGATCAATCCAATTCTCAGTTCCGTACAATAGGACTGTCTTAACATTAGTATTAATAACTCTGACCTTATTTTTGGTTGACTGTTCTTCTTAATGTCGGATATTTCTTAGTTGTGAGAATGCTGTCTTCCTTTGCTGATCTATGCATTGATATCCACATCAGATTCTCCTTGTTTATCTTTGATGTACCCCAGGTACGTAAAATCTTTTACCTCTTCCAGAGCTTCGCTATCAAGTGCGATTTGGTTGATGTCGACTTTGTGATACTTCAGGATTTTACTTTTTCTTATTTGAATAGGAGGGCCAAATCATATAGCTTCATCTAAGTTACCCGCAGTATTCCGTGATTTTCCTGAGCTATAGAAGCTTTCTTAATCCAACCGGCAGTTGGCAAAAAGGGAGAAGTTGGGCGTAGGCACCATTGTCTTCCACCGTGTGGCGCGTATGTATCTGGTGCCCCCTTGTACCAATATTTGTGTTCAGACCAATAATAATAAATATAAATAGTCATCACTTCTAATTCACCTGTGAGCTGGCCTCGATGCACGACTTTGCAACCCGGTTCCTCTTAGGAGTTAATTATGGTAGTGTTGATCTTTTCAGGTATTCCAAAGTATGGAAGATTATACGGTATTTTTTCTACCTACTCTTTCAAGTACTTTTTTACAATCAAGGAATTCGATGTATGTCTATGAGTTCTGTTCAAATGATTGTTCCACAATAATCCTCAGTGTCGCGATTTGTTCAGTATATGATCGATCTTTATGAAATCCATTTTGTTGGTCTCAAGGTTATGGATCTACTAAACCTTTCATTGACTTCAGCAACATTGTTGAAAAGTGTGCCTGTCACTGACAATAGTACGATCCCTTTGTAATTCTCACATGATCTTTATTCGGTATCTTAATTTGGTACTCCTCTTTCCAGTTTATTAGTACCTGTTTTTCCTCACAGATCTTTCGGAATGGAACTTGGAACATTTAAATCCCCTCAAGGTCTGATTGTAGTGTTTCAGTTGGTATGTTGTCTTGTTCTACTGTTTGCCATTTCTGATTTATCTGATTGGATTGTTAGTTTCTACTATTGTTGGTGAGATATCATCTCTAGAGATAATTGTGTGTGCTACTTCGATGTAAGTTGGGTTCAGCTATGCTTGTCTGTTCAAAAACTTTTCAGATCGATTTACTCACCCGTTTCGCTTTTCTTGATCTTCAGTGATTGGTTTTCCTTCTTTGTTCCTGATTGATCGCTTATGTCACTGTCCTTCACAGCTGCCTCAAAAGTCATGTAGTCATTAACAAAGTAGGCAAACCAAAGGATGAATAAATTCTGGTGAGATAGTTCAGAGGTTAAAACTCAAATGTTTTAGATTTCTTTGCACATCTGCTTCGCTAGATAGCTCTGCTTTCATTGGATTTGGAGTATAATACAGTTTACTTGAAGTCGCTGTAGTATTAAGTTGTCTAGAAAGTGTGATAGTTCTCCACGTGGTGTTTCAATTATTCTTGACAGTTGTTGGTGAACGTACTGTCACCTGCAATTTTTGTTTTATCGATATCAGGATTTATCTGCTAGTTAGTAGTGTGTTCTGGTTATCAGGTTTTGTAAAATGCTTGCTTCAGTTATTGTAACGTATTGATGAGCTTTCAGTTCAACAGAATAAATGTGCAGTTATCTTAAAGCTTAAAGGAGCTAACGAAATTCTAAAAGTAAATACAAGAGTTGTAGAATCGGTTACATGATCAGTTGTAGTAAAGATCAGGTACAAAAAATATGGTATAGAGAGATTTCAGGGATCAGGTTTTTAAGGAAGATAGAGAGCAATGGACTCAAAGTCCCTAAATATTGGTTACAATAATCATTCGCTTATTAACCTTGACTGTTTTTATATGAGCGTGTGTATTGTTTACTCTATTCATCACATGTCGGTGTCTTATTTTTGATCTGACTCCAATTTGAATATGCTATGAACACAAACCTTCCATTTAACTTCGTATATGTGTGACGGCTGTAATGGGAAGTCAAATACCGGTTGCGTTGGATAAATGTATTTCAGGCACTCGTCTATCCAGACACATTCAGAATGAAAAGCAAGGGAGTGAAGAAAAACGAAAAGATGAGGTGAGGTAGAGAAGACGAATGATCCAACTCGTTTTGATAAAGTGTGACTCAATTTTTATACTGAAATAGAAACAGGCTACTGACATATGATGGATAGGGTAAGCAACATACATACGCTCATATAAAAACAGTCAAGGTTAATAAGCGAATAATTGATACGGTCGAAGTGTGACTTAAGAAGAATGATTAAGTTCTGTCCGGAAGCTAGAACAGCCCATGTGAGCTTGATATAGTACTAGGCACTACGAACCCACCTAGAGCAGTTGGGGAACCCTGATTCTAAACCTATGGTGCACATGGGTTCCAGAATCACTAGAAAACAAATAGCGTATAGACCTATTTGTGATCACCGGTTACAATACGACCTTAATTCTTAACATTGCCCCATTGGCTTGCGGATTAAACACCTGGGTCAAAGGCTTAGGAAGTAACCCCCTAAGAAAACATCTACTTCGATTTGAGTGCCCAGACAGGATCTCAGCCCTCACACAAGTTCAGTGATTTTTGTGTTGTTTATACACTTTGGTGCTCCTCTGTACCAGTGTTTGTGTTTAAAAAATAATAAACTCGAGATCACTTACTCGGTGGTCTCATAATACATGAACGATACTTAGAAGATACGTATGATCAAATATTAGTAACCTAAAAATATTCTGTATTCTGAGTACCCATGTTCCACACAGGTAGGGTAAAGCAAACTTCTGCGCAGTAAACTCGTTCATTGGTTGGGGGACGGATATCTCCTCTACGCCACAAGTAACGCAAGTTGCCAGAGGTCATTCGGGCCTACTGAATTTGTGCCGCTGACGAAGCCACTTCTGAAGCAGCACTTTGCATCTCATAGATCCTTGTATTTTAGCTTTAGTTGGTCAGAAGACTGCATTTTGTCATGGTTTTCTTCTTAGTTGACTACATCACCTGCGTATTCTAAGTCAACAAGTGAATATCCCGATAGGAGATTAATCCATGGAAAGTCAGACAATAATGGATGTATATGACAAAATCAAATAAAGATTGAGTAAGTCGACAGCCCTGACAAGCACTACTCGAGGTTGAAAATTCTAATGACACTTCTCCACAAGCTCTGATTTGAGCAGTAGTATCCTAGTAGAAAGTCTGTATAAGGTCGGCATAATTCTTTGGTACGGCTTTCAATAACGGACACTGCCAAAAAGTCTGTCGACCTAAGGGATCAAACTCTGCCTTAAGATCAAGAAATGCAACTATAGTTGGGAGTTGGTGGGCATGTAATGATTCCGGAATTTGGTGATATACCAGCTGAAATTATGGAGATGAGACAATTGAACTTGAGCATTTCTGTTATTACAAACTAACTGTTAGCATATAAAGAGTTCTGCTAAATATGATGCCTTCTGCAATCTACTGTAAAGATATGATTGGATAAAATGTACCCATTAGTTTCATTCACTGTATCGCTTTTTATAATTGCATATTTAGTTGGGAATAGGTACATGTCACTTATATTTTTAACTGGTTTCCATTTCCTTAAACCATACAATCTACTTTATCTGGTGAATTCGTTTGTCTTCTCTGTCATATTTATAGTACTTAACTGTGCAGTAACGCTGTTCGTTTTTCATGGTTCCCTAGGCAATTCAGTCAATTTTCATATGAAAATGCAAATTCAATACCATCCCAACCTATCAATCTTCCCTTCTCACAAGTACAATATTCCTCTGCTGCGATGTATGAAGGAAAAGAAGAGGATTACGAAAATGAACCACCTCTGTTAGAAGGTAAGAATGAAATGCATTTTAAATATTTTTCAAAGAACTAGCTCTTTCACTGTACCATAACTTTTAAAAGCACTATTATTTGCATATATGATGCAAACGTGGGTTTTGCGCATACGTTATGGATATGTACATTCCCATACACTGTAATAATGTATTTGTAAGGCATAACTTTGTTGAAATTCACTCTTGTTTAGTTTCAGAAGTTTTAAAGTTGTCAAAGTGAATGGTTGTCGCTTGTAACACGAACACATCAAGGAGTACTGTTAAAACCCAGTAACAATAACTATTAATGAAACTAGGTATCATTACCAAGGTTTGATTTGATAATTTCGAATAAATTGAGCATTGGGTTGATTGTTATAAATAAAAACAATATATTTGTAGTATCTCAATGAGTAGAAAATTAGATTTTCTGACGTTTCGTGACTTAGTGTAAGTCACTTCTTCAGAGGATAAATAACCAAATTAAAATTAATCCAAGTTGTACTATTTAAACTTGGATTAATTTTAATTTGGTTATTTATCCTCTGAAGAAGCGACTTACACTAAGTCACGAAACGTCAGAAAATCTAATTTTCTACTCATTGAGATATTACAAATATATTATTTTTATTTATATTAATGAAACTGTTCATTACCGAATTTACCACAAACATTAACAAGAATGCATAGTTATTCAGCAAAATAACGTGTCTGTAAACTAGTTTTTCACTTAAACATTGGAAAATAAAGAAGTATTGTTAAATGCAATTAATTTAAAAACAGTTATACCTAATTTTCAAAGTATTACACTTTATGTAACGCAGACAATATCGTGTAACTTTGTATCTGTTACCTTCAATGGATTCTCATAAAAGAAAGTGGAGAATGTTTTAACAAAAGATAAATAGTAAAATTAAAATTGATCCGTGCTCATAATTTACTCAGCAATGTTTACTGTAGACCACATGGAACGTTAATTTATCACAACTTTACTTAAGTAGTAGGCTAGAATTAACTAACGATTTGTGTATTTAGGAACAAACAGTTGGCAGAAAATAAACCGAATAGAGTTTAAACAGATAAGATTAACTAATGCTTTTTGAAAAGACATCTACGTTACATCATCAGGTCTTGTTGCACTCATCATATCATCAGACCTCTTAGCCGAATTCAAATGGTTCATAGTTTTGAGTAATTAAATGTATTTAATAATTAGTCAAATCTTTTAATAACCACACCATGTCTAACTTTTTAATCATCTAGTCATTTTGTGCTGTTATGTAAGACTCAATTCAGCTAGTAATTTAACTTGATAATACAATCTTATACTTCACTACTGCTGACAACCTAATTCACAGATAAATTTTGAAACAGGTCAATTTGTTTTAGAAACAACATTTCTTATGATTACTAGGTTCTTTTACATACTGATTCATCATAGTTTATATATTTTATTATGAACTAGTTCCATTTTATGTTTACTGATATATGTTTGCTCAAATGTTTACTTAATAAATAAAGTATACAACCATATATTCGGATTTCTTGACATAACACTACAACATTAGACTGTGTATGTAAGATTTTGTCTCTACCAAAATAAGCATTCAGTCTGATGTCTTCTTGTTTTGCTTAATTTACAAGTTACTTTAAAGAACAAATTTCCTCATTATTATAGATGTCATGTTTGGAGTTGCTAATTAGTTAAATCACTGAATCACAGCTCTGTCTTGTTATTAAGTGAGAATCCAAGAATTGCTTGTGAAATGATTTTTCACATATTTGATTTTCTTCATTAATTCCAATGAAGTATTTGTATGTATTTAAATATTATAAACATTAGCGTTTTGAAATGGATTTTTATTATGTCAACCAAACACAACTAACACATACAACTATGTCTGATTATATCATAGATCAATCGTTCCTATAATAAAATACTAAATTGTATTACCGTATGATAATTACTTAAACTTACATATTTTCTTGTGTTGCAGAACTTGGTATCAACTTTAGTCACATTGTACAAAAGGTAAGTAGTTTTTTTTTTCAATATTTATATAAGAAATAGTTAATTATTTATCGTCAGTTGTGGGTTTGTTGATTTCAGTTTAGTGCAGTTTTATTTATTAACACTTAATACATAGTAGTTGCTGACGTAATTTTATTATGATTAAAAACTACATTCACCATTGGTAACATGAATCTATCCAGTCGTTCGCTATTTTGTCATCATGCAAATGAACCATTTTCAGTTAGTGAAAGTATCAATAAAAAAGAGTACAAGAGAAAAATATTATTTTTGTCATTTGATTTCTTTGTGAAATATGAGACGAAATGTCCAAAATGAACTGTATGAAAAGTTACTTTTTCTTCACTTCCACTATCGCGCAAACCAAATGACAATATATCAAAAATATCTATGTAGTTGGCAAAAAAACTGATATTTAGATGCGTTGAAGATTATATATTATGTAGTACAATGTCACACAACACATTTTTGTTTTTCAGACATCATCTGTCCTCCTTCCTTTTAAAGAAAGTTCTCAAGAAGTGCTTGACGATACAGATTTGGCCGGACCTTTGGTTTTCTGCCTGCTATTTGGTTGTACCTTAATGTTTGTGAGTTTTAATATACAAATGTAAACCGTTGGTGTTTTATGATTACCTTATTGCAGTTGTTTTGGTAATCGTATACTTATTTCTTTTTTATCATTTTACTACGTAGGCTGGAAAAATTCACTTCAATTATATCTATGGATTAGGTGTATTTGGTTGCTTGGGTATTTACCTCCTGTTATCAGTTATGACGCCTAGGGGAGTTACACCAACTTGTGTCATTTCAACATTGGGATATTGCCTACTTCCTATGTGTCTTTTATCTTCATTTGGGATTGTATTTTCTCTTAAGTAAGTTTACTCTTTTAACATAGATACATTGTACATTAATAAGTGATCATAACTCGAAAACGTAGTCTTATAATAACATACAGTAGATTATGCCTTATTAGCATCTACATTTAACAAAACTTTCTTGCTAATTTACAGTAATTTCATAGGCGTTGCGCCATGAGGAACCTTAATTGTTCATTTTTGCAGATTTTGCTTCCAGTTTTCTCTCTCACTGAACCTAAAACGTACAGTATCAAAAAAAGAACACCTAGTAATCGGCATGCGCTGCCTAGTTTTTCTTTGTCGAATTCACCTTTGAACGAATTTATCGTTTGCATGGAATAATTCTGCCGGATTCTACTTACCATGTTTTCCGCAGTCAAAGACAGTGAGCAGAAGGGCTAATGTGGATATATAATGTACTGCCTAACCACTTCTACCCGCGTTTATCAATCACATTTCTCTACCTACCACTCATAGTAGCAGGCTTGCCAATACCTTTACACTTTATGTTGTTGGTGGTAGCATACAATTTTCATTTTTATTTATTTTATTTGAACACATAGATATTGGTACAAGGAGGCACCAAGTACATATGCGCCACACAAATCTCATTTGATTTCTGTGAGAGCTGTAATACTGCCCGGGTGCCCAAACCGAAGCAGATGATTGTCTTAGGGGGCCGGACCCCAAGCCTTCGACCTGAAGGTCTGATCCACAGGGCAATAGAGCATCATAAGGAGATGTAGTCCCATGGTAGCCGGTGACCAACGATTGGTTCATACACCATTTGTTCCTCCAGGATACTGGAGCCCATGTGCACCATTGGTTTGGAATCAGGGTTTTCCAACTCCCCTAGATGTACTCTCCATGTCCACCAACCCGGTTAAAGCGCCGGACATTCGCTTTTCGTCCTCTCAATTTCGTAAACATCACCCTCGCCACGAGAAAGCAATGGATTTGATACAATTTTCAACCAGGCAGTGACTCGAGAACGTTTAGATAGAGTCAAATTTCCACCATAGACAAGCTGCTGTATAAGTCGAAAAAAATAAGTATAGATAGAGTAGGAAAAAAAGAGGGTGAATAATGATGTAGTAAATAATAATAATATTTTAGCGATTAGGTTGACTAATATTTTAGCTAAGATCTGGGAATTAGACTTTATCCCATCTGACTGGTCGCAATCACTTATCGTCCCAATATATAAGAAAGGGTCAAAATCATCCTGTGACAACCACAGAGGGATTAGTTTAACAAACATAGTATCTAAAATACTGGCCTCGATAATTATCAGACGCCTAACTAAGACTCGTGAACTGCAAACTCGAGAGAACCAAGCTGGCTTTAGACCTGGTCGTGGCTGCATCGACCACATATTCACCATTCGTCAGGTTCTAGAACACAGGCATACCTATCGGCGTCCGACGATGGTGGTCTTTCTTGACTTAAAAGCAGCGTTTGACTCTGTAGACCGCGAGACTGTGGCAGTGTCTGTCATTGAAAGGCGTACCTCAGAAGTACATAAACCTTGTGAAGGCTCTTTACTCGAACACTACTAGTCGAGTCAGAGCTTATGGCGAACTGTCATCTACTTTTGCAACTTCAAGTGGTGTCCGTCAAGGCTGTCCACTTTCCCCATTTTTGTTTAACTTCATCATAGACCTATTGATGGAAATAACACTCTCGTCGACTGAATTCTCGGGTATTGATCTCCTTCCAGGAGGTCCACTTATCGACTTAGAATACGCAGATGACATAGTCCTGTTTGGTGAAGACGCTGACAAAATGCAGAGTCTTCTGGTAGCACTAAGCAACAATGCCAGAATGTTTGGGATGCGCTTCTCTCCCTCTAAATGCAAGTTGTTGCTTCAGGACTGGTCGGCGTTAACACCTGAACTAAGGATAGGGAGTGAAGTAGTCGAACGCGTTGACAACTTCACTTATCTTGGAAGTCTGATCAGCCCTAATGGGTTGGTATCGGACGAAATCTCAGCACGGATTCGAAAAGCTCGATTGGCTTTTGCCAACTTACGTCACCTTTGGCGAAGGCGAGATATCCGTCTATCAATAAAAGGACGAGTATACTGCGCGGCAGTCCGTTCTGTTTTAATTTACGGCAGCGAAACATGGCCTTTAAGAGTAGAAGACACCCGTAAGCTATTAGTATTTGACCACAGATGCCTTAGAAATATTGCTGGCGTCTGCTGGGATCACCGGGTAAGTAATAGTGAGGTTAGACACAGGGTATTAGGGAATGATGGTAAATCAGTTGATGAGGTTATGAATCTTCATCGACTGAGATGGTTGGGCCACGTGTTACGTATGCCTGAATACCGATTACCACGACGTGCAATGCTAACCGGTGTAGGGGATGGTTGGAAGAAAGTTAGGGGCGGCCAAACCAAAACGTGGCATCAGTGCTTGAAGTCACTAACTTCTAGTCTTAGCCATGTTGGTAGATGCAGACTACTTGGTTGGGGTCCGCGTGACTTTCGTAACCAATGGTTGGAGACTCTTGGTGACATGGCTCAGAATCGATCACAATGGCGTCGGTGTATATACTCCCTGTCTTCCCTTAAACTAAGAGATTAAATCACTTCATATCTTTCTTTCTACCAACTAATTCTTCCTTCCTATACTATATCCTTATTGCAACCTTTGACCTAACCACTTCTATGAATCCGGTGTTCATCTTGTTGTGCTAATGAGGTATGGCAACCTGGACCGATGCACATATGTGCCTGGTCCTACGTTGTAGCTGACTGACTGACTGACTGAAATAATAATAATAATGTGAATTGTTTGACTGTTAATCGAAGCGTGAATAGAATTTTCAGTAAATATCGTCATTTTCATTTTATTTGTGTGAGGGCCGTGATACTGCCCGGGTTCTCAAACCGAAGCAGGTGGTTTTCTTAGGGGGCCCAGCCCCAAGCCTTTAACCTAAAAGTCTGACCCACAAGGCAGTGGAACATCATGAGGAGATGCAGTCTCATGGTAGCCGGTGACAGACGATTGGTTCATACACCATTTGTTCCCGCAAGATATTGAAGCCCATGCGCACCATTGGTTCGGGATCCGGTTGAAGCGCCGGACATTCGCTTTTCGTCCTCTCGTTTTCGTAAACAACAGTAATGCCACGAGAAGGCAGTGAGTAGGACTTCCTTGGCAGAGGCTGTATACGCGTGACCGTGTGAGAGCATTTCGAGAGGGAGGGCGGGCTCACCCCACTCTCGGCCATATCATGGTAATTGGGTAGAGTGAGGGCATACAACCACCTTTCTCCATTGTTCCATTCGAACAATGGGGTTAGGCGGGGTTGCCCAATCTCACCATTCCTCTTCAACTTTGCCATCGACGACATTCTGGAAACAGCTCTGTTGGATGTAAGTAATGGCGGTGTGGATCTGTTGCCTGGAGAAAGACTTCTCGACCTTGAGTATGCGGATGATATTGTCTTACTGTGCGATAATGCCCAAGACATGCAGTCCGCGGTTAATCAGTTGGCAATCAGTGTCCGTAGGTACGGTATTTGCTTTGCACCTTCGAAGTGCAAAGTATTTCTACAAGACTGGCAGGATTCTAATCCTGTACTCACCCTGGATGGTGAGCAGATGGAAGTAGTCAAGAAGTTCGTGTATCTAAGTAGCTGCATAAGTGCTGGTGGTGGCGTGAGTGATGAGATCAATGCACGTATAGTGAAAGCCAGAGCGGCTTATGCCAATCTGGGCCACCTTTGGCGCCTTCGTGATGTTAGTCTGGCTGTAAAAGATCGGATCTACAACGCGTCGGTGAGAGCAGTTCTGCTCTACGCTTGTGAAACCTGGCATCTCCGAGTTGAGGATGTTAGATGACTCTCTGTGTTTGATCATCATTGTCTCCGAAAAATTGCTGACATCCAGTGGCAACACCATGTCAGTAATGCAGAGGTTCGGCATCGTGTATTCGGGCGCAGAGATGATAATCCAATCGGTGTCACCATCTTGAAACACCGACTTCGGTGGCTTGGACATGTTCTCCGAATGTCGTCCCAGAGAATTCCACGTCGTGCATTATTTGCCGACTCTGGGACTTGTTGGAAAAAGCGGAGAGGTGATCAGTGTATGACATGGTGTCGTGGTATGAAAGAAAGCTGCAAAAGACTGGCTTGTGTCGGTCCTTCACGACTCCCTGGTTGAGGTCGGAGAGATGGTGATACACAGTGGCTAGAGACGTTATCAGATATGGCTCAGAATAGAAGCCAGTGGCGATCCTGCAGTAACCTTCTTTTACTTTCTTCATAAAAAGTGGTTGTTTCTTCCTTAACTGAAAGATTTCTTCTGATTGTACCTTTCCGTTCCCCCATTATTACTGTTATTATTATTATTGCACTACCTTACACCAATCTGTTCGTTATTGTTCCTCTTTTCTTTCACACCGCTTACCTTTTTTTCCTTGTCTTTAAATTCTCATTGTTTTGTGTGGCGCATCTATATTTGGTGCCCTCTTGTACCAATATATATGTGTTCAAATAAATAAATAAATATGTTGTTGGGGACATCATCATCATATGGATGATTTACATACATTCTTTCTCCACAACAAAAGCACTTCATATTCGTCTTCTCATATATATTTATGTAATACCTAAAATGTCTGATTTACAATTGGTTGATCAATGAATGTCATGTATGTCTAGTCCTTTTCAGTGCTGATTGAATCATACAGTGTGGTCACTAGTCTAAGTGGCTCGACATTGCGCGCAGCATATTTGGAAGTAAGGTGGTGATTGGGAATAGTCGACAGGAAACCATATATCTAGGTTTCATACCATTTGGCACCTCAGCATAATGTAAACAATGTCAAGTCACTTCGACAAGTGATCACACTGCAACTGGATCGACAGAGTTCAGTTAATACTAAGGACTTTGCCATTGGTTACTACTCAGTGATCAATCAGTTGTAAATACATCTGAGTCCTACAGGAGATCAGTTGCGCCCCGGATATCTTAGTGATAACACCAACTGTAAAGCTGGGTGACACGGAATCAAGTCTGCCAGGGAGCATCTGTTCCAAAAAGATTACACCTTGTTGGTAAGTATCAAATAGCACGAAACAGGTTTTGGGTTTCCTGTCGGCTACCTGCAGTCACCCCCTTACAGTTCGAATTATATACGTCGGTGGTAAGGTTATTCACCGTAGTTTCTTCTGGATTATTATGCACCTACTCCTTACATGGGCTCTTATTCACCTTCATGTGAATTGACATTGGAGTTAATAGGTATTTGTAAATTTGTCACAATCTCGTCAATCAATTGCTTTTGGTTACCACATCCATTCTTGTTGTTTCTGAGTTCAAAAATATTAGATATACAATTTAGATTTTAATAACGGTAACCTCTCTTTTTCGAATTTACCTGTACATAATTTTTTTCTATATTTTGTCATACATAAAATGATGTACAACTCTCATTTAACTTTTATCCCAGAAGTGTACTAGGTGTCGTGTTGACAGCGACTGTCGTTTCGTGGTGCACAATTGCTTCCAGTAAATTGTTTGTTCGTAGTTTGGATATGCAACACCAACGCATTCTTGTGGCGTATCCATGCGCCTTAGTGTATTGTGTATTTGCACTCCTAGTTGTGTTTTGATTCGCTTTCTGTTATTTAAATTATTGGATACATAGCTGTCAGATTTACTGATGGATAAACTTATGATGACCTGTAATATTTATCATGCGAAAAAGATACATTTTTTTCTATTAAAACATTCATTAAAAATGGAATTATGTTTGTTTATGAAACACTGTTAGAAATATACTGGGTTTCACTTGGAATTATGTGCCAGTATTAATAAACTGATATTGTTTTTATTTCAGGTTGGAGAAATTTAGAATGATATGCTCTTTACCGCAGTCACCAGAAAAAGTAATCGCTCTTGATCGACTTGAAATGACAGAGAGTGGGAGAGCTTATTTTCTTTCCCGAAATATTCGCACACGACTGTGAATTTATAGCTTCTCTTTAGGATGCCCTACTCCCCCATGCTAACGTAGCGGGTGCATTTTCGCAATAGTTTTATGTTATGCGGATTATTGTAACTATTCTCGATGTACAGTCAAGTGTTATCATTACTGTCTATTGATTTGATATAATCTTTTACTCAATAAGTATAAGCTCCACATGGATGACAGTTCAGCTTACATTTCTAAAAGCCTGCTTGAATAGCAACTTTTGATTTCGATAATAAGGTTTTATACTTGGCACAACTATCCTATGCCAAATAATTAGTTGGTATTTTTAAAAACTTTATCTAACACCGAAACTTGTTGGAAACTGAAAACCACCTGACAGTTGATTTCTAAACCCTGAGCTGCCCACCAGTGCACACCCTTAAGCCTATTCATGATAGAGCGCAGAATCTTGGTGACCACGAAATACCACGCCACCTTCAATTTGGTGTTATAGTATGAATTACATGAAGGTTAATACTCATCCATGCACAGCATTTCCCCAAAACAATGCACGTGTACAACTGGGAATTCAACTTGATGATAACGATTATAAAGTAAAGCATCGCGGATAACCTAGTGTGTGACGTAAATAACAAGAGGTACTGAAGAAACGAGGATGACTGGTGATAGGCGGGAGAGAGACCGTATGGTCGAAATTATTTTGAAAAGTGACCCATTCTGTGTAAATCACGGAAACACCTGAAATAAAACAAAGCAGTGATGAGTGACTACAATGTCCAAGGAAAATTAGCGATCGTTTCGTTGTAGAGCTATAGTACGATGCACAGAAGATAAAACAAAATGTATTCATGGAAGAAAATATCCACTTATTTCTCCCACATAGAAGACGTGGGAATACTGTTTGCCCAGAGGAAATACATCACTACATGCTAGTTCGGTTTATGTAAAGCTTTGCTCTTGCACCTTACCAAAAGCACATTATTTACCTTACAACGGCATTTGCTCCTGGTCGTTACACTACCCAACTAATCTTAATACTAACTTAGTTTGACAGCGTCATTCGTAGCTGTGGTTCAAGTGCGCGACAAAACTAAGCCGTTCTCACGATAAGTCTTTATTGTATTTAATATCCCAAACAACCAATACGGTGTTAAATTACTCTTTTAATAGTTATACGTAATTTTAGTTGTGTAGTGGATGCTACTGTCAAGGATGTTTGCGAATAAGGTGTATCGGAACGTAGCGTCGAATTCGCAACCGTCAGGCAGTGAAGAGTTTCGGTGCATCGAAAGTATGACGTTTTGAAGGTTAGTCGAGAAGACAGTTCAGATTGCAGAACACACTGGAAGGTGCAAATGGACGATTGAATGCTATCTATACACACCATGTAATTGCTTCGTAACTTTCGCAATAAATATACATTTCTCCTGTTTATTGTTCTGTTCTATAGTTGATACATAAGATGGTACTAACTCTATTAGGTTAAGCTATTGATTAATAACATTGAAGTAACCACTTTAGGTAACAAAATTTCAACAATTGACGATAAATGAATGTTTATTGTAAATCAACATATTTGGTATTGATGAAATAACAGTTCATGGTGGTGGTTTTGTATGTGACTAATAAAAAAGGTGCACGGGAGAAAAAGATGTACCTCAAGATGAGAATATATTGCTGGTTGTTTTAATGAGATTAGAAATGTTACATAGGTTTCATGATTCGTCCCAAAGGGAAATGAGTTTTTAAAAAAGTGTTTTTCAAGCAAAAATAACAAAAGAACATTGAGCTATCTAATATAAATAAGTATATACAAAGCTTATAAAACGGACAAATATATATGGAATGCAACTCAAACCTGAGGATTATAAAAGTGGAATTCTGAGAATATATTATATGAATAAACAAAGCATTACATAGACCGGATAGTTGTGAATACTTGACAAGTTGGCATTAAACGAAAAGCTTTTGATTATATTAATGCTTCGAAATAAAAGCGTGAAACGAGGTGGTTTACAAATGCAATTTCTCAATTAATAATTGTTACTCAGAATAGTTGATTGATGTGAGTAAGTAGAGTGTCTTATGGGTCTATGAGAGTAAAACTGCTGAGACATCTGTGTCTCATTGAAGATGTTAGGACTAGAAATGAGACCTATGCCTGTTGGTGTGGAATTCATGAAAGGCGATATAGTATTCAAATTATTGTGAGGGAAGTGTAAAGTATTTGCTTTGATACACGAACCAGCAGACTGCATAGACAGAGGTTGTTGTAGCAAAGGTTGGAGAGAATATTCTTCTAAGCAAGTAGGATCTGTTTGAGGTGACGAGTTGACTAATTTTCGATAACGATCAATTTCATAGAAATACTGCAGTCTCACAGAAGCCGTAGATAGGCAGGCAATGAAAGTGTTCTATAGAAAAAGAAAACAAACTTTGATAAACTGCCTACAAAGACTATGAAAAACTAATGAACTTGACTGGATTTAAGTGTTCTCATCAGTAGTCAGGGATTGTGTACATAATGAATAACATTTACCGTATGAAGGCCAAGAATAATGCTTGACCGTATAAACTTCGGTATGTGGAGAGAAGGGTTTAAACATTATTACAAGCGCCTGAAGCTAATCTAAACAACTTTCCTGAAAAACATAATGCTTTTCATTTAAGTAGAGAGAGTCAGTTGGTTGGCATTACGTTTACATTGGGGTGTTCCGAATAACGTAGACGTCAAGAACTTACAAATTTATGAAGTGCATGCCACCCGACAAAATAAAAGAGCTGTAGCTCATAAAGAAGGCGACAATGGTTGTATTTCTTGTATCATTCTATTTAGATAAACTGTTCAGCTCTGGGCTTGAAGAATTGATTGGCTGACGAGACGTTTGCGATCTAAGAAAACAGAATTCTTCATCTGCTATATATATATATATATATATATATATATATATATATATAGTGGATGACCACTAAATTAAGATACTAACTTATCACCCACATACATATGAGGACTAGGACCGGAGTTTAGGGAACTACAGAAACTCAAAACCATACTTAACTGAGATATGGAATAAACATTCAATTCCGCTAGCCAAGTGATGTTTCAGTTCATCCAGATACATTTAATGAACCAAAATGACACTATGGGTCCAATGTCTTGTAGAACTGGTTCTTGTAGACCCGTACATGAAAAGAGTACTATATCCAAAAAACAACCAGCAAAATCAAAACACTACCAAGAAATGCAACATGAATACAGTTTTGAAAAGAAGTATATACCGGTTATTGCTGGTGAACACAACAATCATTGCTGATCACGAGTAGGTCCAGAAAGCTAATTTAACCTTAAGCTCGATATCTAGTAAGTGTCAAGAAACTAATTTTTCAACATTAAATATTACCATCGAAATCAACGACACTGATTGTTGATTAATGGAAGGGATACATGAAAAGTAATAGAACTTAGTAATATGTATTATACAGTCTTTGATGACATCGTAAAATTGTAGTGAGAGCTATTTTAAGCATAAAACTAACAAGTCACCGAAAAGTACCGCAACTCACCAAACCAAGAATCACCAAGAAACAAGCAATTAAAGCGCTTGCAAATAATGGTCCAATAGTGGAGGTCTGAAAATGGTATATAAATTCAGTAATCATATCATCAGAAATCAATAGGACGAAATCTTACTTTTGTAAATTAACAATAATGACGAGTAATCTGTTTTTAAAACCCCCCAAATGCCCTGGTATGGCCGAGAGCGGGGTGGATTCGCCCTCCCTCTGGAAATACTCTCACACGGACACGCGTATACAGCCTCTGCCCGGCGCTTCAACCGGATTCCAAATCAATGGTGCACATGGGCTCCACGATCCTGTGGGAACAAATGGTGTATGAACTAATCGTCTGTCACCGGCTACCATGGGACTGCATCTCCTCACGATGCTCCACTGTCTTGTGGGTTAGACCATTAGGTCAAAGGCTCGGGGTGTGGTCCCCTAAGAAAACCACCTGCTTCGGTTTGGGCACCCGGGCAGTATCACAGCTCACACACAATTAATGAACTGAACTGTCTATGATCATGGAAACTAATTCTCTTGCTTCGACGAACAATCAAATGATTCAAATATTATTATTATTATTATTATTACTATTATTATTATTATTTACTACATCATTATTCACCCTTTTTTATTCCTACTCTATCTATACTTATTTTTTTCGACTTATACAGCAGCTTGTCTATGGTGGAAATTTGACTATCTAAACGTTCTCGAGTCACTGTCCGGTTGAAAATTGTATGTCACCACCGAATACGAGAACTGAAGCAGTTTTTCTGAAACCACGTGCACCATTCAAACTGGCTGCCTTCAACGTTCGCACATTTATGCAGGTCGGACAACAGATAGGGCTGGCTATGTCTTTGGAAAGTCTTACTATCGACGTTTGTTGTCTATCTGAGACCCGTATTCAAGACTCTGGCGAAGTACTACAAATTCGATCTCCATCTGTCGCTTCAAAAAGCTTGTTTTACGTGCGCTTATCCGGGGACCCTGTGGCATCTTCGTCTGGTCTTGCTGGCGTTGGTGTCGCACTAAGCGCTAGAGCTGAGGCAGCACTAATCGATTGGATCCCGACTAATAGTCGGTTATGTGCTGTTAGATTAGAGAGTTCCATCAAAGTGAGAAGAAATCGGTGTGAGAAACGATGTATTTTCGTCATCTCCGCCTATGCCCCGACAGATTGCAGCCCGGATGCAATCAAGGATGAGTTTTACCACCAGTTATCCGTTCTTCTCCAGAAAGTGCGTTCGACAGATATTGTAGTACTAGCCGGAGACTTGAATGCTCAGGTTGGGCGTCTAGACACAGAAGAGAGTCGTTTACGTGGCCCATGGGGACTTGTTGGTCGCAGGCCAGATAACGGGGACGGGGACCGTCTACTGCAACTGTACACAGACCACAACCTGATTCTGGCTAGCACTAACTTTCGGCACAGTCATCGCCGATGTGCCACCTGGCGTTCTCCCTCTGCATCTCAAGCCTGGACTCAGATTGATCACATCACGATCAGCTACCGCTGTCGTGGTTGTGTACAAGACTGCCGCTCCTTTTGGAGTACCTATCTGGACTGTGACCACGCCTTGGTCTGCGCCAATCTTACCTTACTTTTCAGTGGCCAACGAAGTCAGTCAGTCAGTCAGCTACAACGTAGGACCAGGCACATATGTGCATCGGTCCAGGTTGCCATACCGCATCAGCACAACAAGATGCACACTGGATTCATAGAAGTGGTTAGGTCAAAGGTGGTAATATATAAGAGAAAGTTTGCATATAGAGATATAGTACAAGAAGAAAGAATTGGTTCGTAGAAAGAAAGATATGAAGTGACTTTAATCTCTTAGTTTAAGGGAAGACAGGGAGTATATACACCGACGCCATTGTGATCGATTCTGAGCCATGTCACCAAGAGTCTCCAACCATTGGTTACGAAAGTCACGCGGACCCCAACCAAGTAGTCTGCATCTACCAACATGGCTAAGACTAGAAGTTAGTGACTTCAAGCACTGATGCCACGTTTTGGTTTGGCCGCCCCTAACTTTCTTCCAACCATCCCCTACACCGGTTAGCATTGCACGTCGTGGTAATCGGTATTCAGGCATACGTAACACGTGGCCCAACCATCTCAGTCGATGAAGATTCATAACCTCATCAACTGATTTACCATCATTCCCTAATACCCTGTGTCTAACCTCACTATTACTTACCCGGTGATCCCAGCAGACGCCAGCAATATTTCTAAGGCATCTGTGGTCAAATACTAATAGCTTACGGGTGTCTTCTACTCTTAAAGGCCATGTTTCGCTGCCGTAAATTAAAACAGAACGGACTGCCGCGCAGTATACTCGTCCTTTTATTGATAGACGGATATCTCGCCTTCGCCAAAGGTGACGTAAGTTGGCAAAAGCCAATCGAGCTTTTCGAATCCGTGCTGAGATTTCGTCCGATACCAACCCATTAGGGCTGATCAGACTTCCAAGATAAGTGAAGTTGTCAACGCGTTCGACTACTTCACTCCCTATCCTTAGTTCAGGTGTTAACGCCGACCAGTCCTGAAGCAACAACTTGCATTTAGAGGGAGAGAAGCGCATCCCAAACATTCTGGCATTGTTGCTTAGTGCTACCAGAAGACTCTGCATTTTGTCAGCGTCTTCACCAAACAGGACTATGTCATCTGCGTATTCTAAGTCGATAAGTGGACCTCCTGGAAGGAGATCAATACCCGAGAATTCAGTCGACGAGAGTGTTATTTCCATCAATAGGTCTATGATGAAGTTAAACAAAAATGGGGAAAGTGGACAGCCTTGACGGACACCACTTGAAGTTGCAAAAGTAGATGACAGTTCGCCATAAGCTCTGACTCGACTAGTAGTGTTCGAGTAAAGAGCCTTCACAAGGTTTATGTACTTCTGAGGTACGCCTTTCAATGACAGACACTGCCACAGTCTCGCGGTCTACAGAGTCAAACGCTGCTTTTAAGTCAAGAAAGACCACCATCGTCGGACGCCGATAGGTATGCCTGTGTTCTAGAACCTGACGAATGGTGAATATGTGGTCGATGCAGCCACGACCAGGTCTAAAGCCAGCTTGGTTCTCTCGAGTTTGTAGTTCACGAGTCTTAGTTAGGCGTCTGATAATTATCGAGGCCAGTATTTTAGATACTATGTTTGTTAAACTAATCCCTCTGTGGTTGTCACAGGATGATTTTGACCCTTTCTTATATATTGGGACGATAAGTGATTGTGACCAGTTAGATGGGATAACGTCTAACTCCCAGATCTTAGCTAAAATATTAGTCAACCTAATCGCTAAAATTGGACCACCATCCTTAAAGACTTCTGGAGCCAGTCCATCTGGACTAGCTGCCCTTCCTCGTTTCAGACTAGTTATAGCCTTTTGAACTTCAGCAAGAGTTGGGGGACCTACTTCAATGTTCCATTCACACTGTCTGGGAATGGAGGGTAGTTGTAGAGTAGCTGAAGGCCAGCTGAACTGTTCTCTGAAATGTTCCGCCCATCGTTCTAAACGCCTGGACTGGGAGCAGATGAGTGTATCGTCTTTTTCCGATATAATCTCACTTACACTTGACTTATTAATTCCAGTTTCTTTTATTAGTCTGTAAAGCTGTCTTGTGTTCCCTATAGTCGCCGCCTTTTCCATCTCTTTTGCTTTCGTTGCCCACCACTGCTCACGGTCATTTCTTAGACTTTTTCTTAACCTAGATCTGATTTGTTGTCGCTCTTCATCATGTTCGGAACCTGATGGGACGAGTTTGCGAGAATCCATCAGTGTGATAGACTTTGAAGAAATCCACTGGTTCTTTGAAACTGTGGTTTAAGTCGCTAATAGATGTCACTGCTGCTTCCACAGCTGATTGTATGCCCTTCCAAGCAACATCTGGGTCAGCCTCGTCTTCACAACTACCTAATCGTGACCTCAGTTGTTCCTGGAACCTACTTTTGGTTTCCTCGCTACTCAGTTCGGTTCTAATGGGTCTTTTTACTGTGGCTTTTTTGCGTCCAGTGAGGCGTAAGCAGATGCGTGCCCGTATTAGGGCGTGGTCGGAGTCCAAGCAGGTACTCCAGAATGAGCGACAATCTTGTACCGACCCTCTCCAACGATGACTGATGGCAATATGGTCTATTTGAGTCCATCGTTGGTTTGGTGCAGGCGGTCGCCACGTTAGACGATGTCTCTCCTTATGCTTAAAATTTGTGTTTGCTAAAAATAAGCGATTGTCTGAGTACAGTTGCAGCAGACGGTCACCATTATCTGTTCACTGTGCCGGAATGCTAAAATATCCACCTAAATGCCTTTCTGTTTGGTTTAAGCTACCTATCTGAACATTAAAGTCACCCCCTACGAGTACTATGTCTGAGCGTTTAGCTTTCTGAAGAAGTTCGGACAGCTTTCTGTAAAATTCATCTTTCACTTCATCTGAGCTGCAGTCAGTGGGAGCGTAGGCAGAAACGACGAAAAGGCAACGACGTGTGTCCCTATCCTTCCGAGTTCTTACGGAGCCGTTTAGCCGAACAGCACATAGACGACTGTTGACGGGGATCCACTCTAGCAGTGCTTGTCCCGCCCTCATGCTTAGTGCTATGCCTACACCTGCCAGTCCACGAGAACTGGCCATCGGGTCACCAGATACACAGAGGGTGTATCTCGTTGGCTCTCCGTTTTGCCGAGGTGAGGTCAAGTGAATGACCACACTGGAATCCTGTATGCGTGTTTCGGAGACACAGCATACATCAATGGAAAGAGACTCTAGGGTTTTAGCCAAGGAAGCCTGCTGACCGATTTGACATAGAGTGCGTACGTTGAAAGCTCCAATGTGTAGTTTGGAGCGAGGTTTCAATAGACCTGGGACAGAGTTTTGAGCACTAGAATCGTTGGCTATGGTGACACTTGAGGAGGAAGCTGAAGGAGGAAGTTTAGGGTTGAAAGTCGATGTAGGAGGAATAATAGGAATTGAAGAAGAAGGTTGATTATGAATACAATGGTCTTGGGTGCTGTTAGAGGTATGAGGGCGGTTATCACTTCCCGGCTGCCCACACCGTGGAAGGGTTCTTCTGGAGGTACCTGAAAAGGAAATTGGATTAGAGGCGGTCTCAGTGACCTGAGAGCGTGACCGCAGTGCCCAAGGGACAACTGCTTGAGGCCGGTCGCGCACGGCCTTTTTGTGGAAGGTTTTTGACGTGTTAGCTCCGTTCTTCAAAGGGCCTTACCGCCGGAGACGGAAATCCGTGAGGTGCGCATTTTTAGAGTCGACCTTTTCTAACCCCACCCCTCCTTGTGGGAAGGCAACATCGCTGTTATGCTGGTTGTCCGAGGGAAACACCTTACTAATGTCACACCTCTGTACAGTCAGCAGTACGACTTCGCCTTCGGACCTTGGGTTTGTTGCTTTTAGTCTTACCGCTCTTCAACCGACCTGTCTGACATGGTAGGACCTTGAGGAACGGTTGTTCCAGCCAGTATAGCTCGGTTGCTTCATCACGATGGGCAAGCCCGACCACCACGTCAAGGAAGCAACAACGGTCGGGCCAACGAAGTGACCGCCACCAATGGACTGATGTTAGCAAGTTGGTAGCAACTTCTGTTGCAAGTAAGTATCAAACCGAGCTAGCTTCTAGGCTAGCTACCATTCCACCGAAAAGCATAGATGAGCATTGGTTGCAATTGCATGACGCCATGAAAATGGCGGGAACAGTCAGTTGTGGGTTTGCGAAACGTCCCGCTTTTAAGCACTGGGTTTCTTCTGGTTCCTTACAACTCATTGAAGCCCGTCGGTCTACTCCGAGTAACCGTGAGTTTGACCACAAACGAAGGTTGTTAGGTAGCGAAATTGGGCAAAGCTTGCGTACGGACCGAGAAGCCTGGTGGTCGGAGCGTGCTAATAAGCTGGAAGCAGCAGGTGCATCTGGTAATTACCGGAAGCTCTTCCAACTCATCCGAACCACTGGCAGCAAGAAGTCTGGTGTGAGTGAAACAATCTGTGAGGATGACGGGATGCCAATCACTAACATCTATCGACGTCTTGGACGATGGGCAGAATTTTTTTGAAGGACAGTTCAACTGGCCTGCTGCTCCGGTAACATCGGTCAGACTGTCCTGTCCCCCCCATGACAGGTGACGACTGACCCACCAAATGAGGCGGAAGTCCGCAAGGAACTCCAACTCTTGAAGCGCTATAAATCACCTCGCCCAGATGACTTACCTCCGGCTCTTTTTAAAGATGGTGGCGACTTTCTGACTAAGGAACTGACGACGTTGTTTACAAAGGTGTGGGAGCTAGAGAGTGTATCAACGTCATGGAATGAGTCGATAGTTGTCCCTATCTTTGAAAAGGGTTCAAGTCGTTCCCATAACAACTATCGGGGGATAAGTCTACTTCCAATTGCGTCCAAGCTATTGGCTTCCGTCATACTTCGTAGGTTGTTCAAAACTCGAGAAAGATTGACTCGCGAGGAGCAGGCTGGTTTTCGTTCTGGTTGAGGATGTATTGATCATATCTTCACTCTATGCCAAATGTTAGAACACCGCCATACTTATCAAAGGCCAACAATCGTAGTGTTTCTTGACATCAGGGCTGCCTTCGAATCGTTGGATAGGACTGTTCTGTGGGATTGTCTATTGGAGAAGGGTGTGCCTGAGAAGTTTATTAACATCCTGAAAGCCCTATAAACAAAAACCTCAGGCAGAGTGAGGGCATACAACCACCTTTCTCCATTGTTCCATTCGAACAATGGGGTTAGGCGGGGTTGCCCAATCTCACCATTCCTCTTCAACTTTGCCATCGACGACATTCTGGAAACAGCTCTGTTGGATGTAAGTAATGGCGGTGTGGATCTGTTGCCTGGAGAAAGACTTCTCGACCTTGAGTATGCGGATGATATTGTCTTACTGTGCGATAATGCCCAAGACATGCAGTCCGCGGTTAATCAGTTGGCAATCAGTGTCCGTAGGTACGGTATTTGCTTTGCACCTTCGAAGTGCAAAGTATTTCTACAAGACTGGCAGGATTCTAATCCTGTACTCACCCTGGATGGTGAGCAGATGGAAGTAGTCAAGAAGTTCGTGTATCTAAGTAGCTGCATAAGTGCTGGTGGTGGCGTGAGTGATGAGATCAATGCACGTATAGTGAAAGCCAGAGCGGCTTATGCCAATCTGGGCCACCTTTGGCGCCTTCGTGATGTTAGTCTGGCTGTAAAAGATCGGATCTACAACGCGTCGGTGAGAGCAGTTCTGCTCTACGCTTGTGAAACCTGGCATCTCCGAGTTGAGGATGTTAGATGACTCTCTGTGTTTGATCATCATTGTCTCCGAAAAATTGCTGACATCCAGTGGCAACACCATGTCAGTAATGCAGAGGTTCGGCATCGTGTATTCGGGCGCAGAGACGATAATCCAATCGGTGTCACCATCTTGAAACACCGACTTCGGTGGCTTGGACATGTTCTACGAATGTCGTCCCAGAGAATTCCACGTCGTGCATTATTTGCCGACTCTGGGACTTGTTGGAAAAAGCGGAGAGGTGATCAGTGTATGACATGGTGTCGTGGTATGAAAGAAAGCTGCAAAAGACTGGCTTGTGTCGGTCCTTCACGACTCCCTGGTTGAGGTCGGAGAGATGGTGATACACAGTGGCTAGAGACGTTATCAGATATGGCTCAGAATAGAAGCCAGTGGCGATCCTGCAGTAACCTTCTTTTACTTTCTTCATAAAAAGTGGTTGTTTCTTCCTTAACTGAAAGATTTCTTCTGATTGTACCTTTCCGTTCCCCCATTATTACTGTTATTATTATTATTGCACTACCTTACACCAATCTGTTCGTTATTGTTCCTCTTTTCTTTCACACCGCTTACCTTTTTTTCCTTGTCTTTAAATTCTCATTGTTTTGTGTGGCGCATCTATATTTGGTGCCCTCTTGTACCAATATATATGTGTTCAAATAAATAAATAAATAAAATACTTATCAAAATAAGCAAGCTTTATGTCAGATTTAGACACTACCATGAATATTTGATTGTCTCACAAAGGCAGTTCAGCAGACGATAGTAATTTACCCAGATTTACAGAATATAAGTGACATTTCCATGATCCAACGATGTAACAGTTACAGAACTCGACTGCTAATTTGCTAACCAAAAATTATTACTAGGTCTTGCATGAAATATGCTGAAAATATGCCTTTATACCTGTCTAATAAGTTACTTTATTACAATTTAAAAGATTTCATGAAATTTCTGCAACAGACAAACGATAAAAGTAATATGTGAAGATAACTGTTTACAATTAAATGATTTACCTGTTGACATAAATGTGTAAATGCGCTGGGCGAATTTACGTATTCACTCCATAGACTAGTATCTAGTGGTCTACGATAAAGGCCTAAAACAAATTAATATCATTTGAAAGATTTCATTAGATTTTTAAAAAATGACATTCAGTCCAAGTATATTTAGACTTAAGAAATCGTAAAACTGACCACAGCTTAGTTACAGAAAAAACATTATGAAATAGAACCCATGGCCACGTGAGACATTTATGGTTGAATGCTAATGAAGCACTCGATAAAAAGCGAAAAAATTAGTCGTAAACAGATCAAGATACAATGTCGGTTCATAAGGTCATAAATTGTCAGTCATGTAGAGAGAGGTAGGCTTAGTGAGATACTGGAATATTTTATGATATTTAAATCCAGTCACTACTGTACATCTATTCACTACTTATTTTTAGAACCTTATTACTTCACGTCTACTTTTTCTGTGAGCGCGTACTTCTTCACCATTTCACTGAATCTACTTTCTCTTTTTCGAAGTAAATCAGTAAACCTTGTTGTAAAATATCCTTACTGTTTTTTTCTCAAACGTGTATCTGAAGTTGAATCACAATCTTAAACTCAAAGTTATTTTATAAATTTCATCAGCATTAGCATGGTATTTCTTAGAGTTTTACTAAATTCTACACTAGTTAACATAGGACGCAGAATTAATGATTATAAATATGAGACGTATAAACCAACCACAATAGACTTACACGTTGAAAGAACGACTTATCTTCTTCTTCTTCTAAAACCCTAGGCTTGACTTTAATATTGTTTAACCATCTATTATACTGCATGCAGTGATTCTAAGAAATTCAACGGTGAATAATTGCACCTAGCTGCTATCTACCGTTATCAGAGACTCACTTATGTCGTAACATAGACAAATAGTTTCGCTTGTAAGTATTTTGAATGACGTGATTTTAAAAAAATCTTGAATATACCTTGCGTATTAGTGTAGTGATGCCGTTGGACACTATTCCGTATAGTTTGCCGTAGTCTATCATAAAAATGAAGAAATCAGTGCACTGAACATATTTCGGGAAATCAATAAGGAATCATCATTTTATATTCACTGAATAGTGCTTTACGTGGGATTTCTAAGTAGAACATTATTACTGATCGAGCTATTACAATTTCGCAAACACGAATTCAGATAATTTGAAATGATGAAAGGAATCTTGATCAATCGAAGATCTAAGATGATATGGAGTCACCGACTGACAATCGCACGCGAAATCAAATGCACTGACTTCTCAAATTAAGACAGTTCTCGAATAAGTGGTAATCGAGAACACGGAATGACTGGCTACACAATTCTACCGAATGTTTTGATGAAATAAAATACTCTTCTATATAAAAGGGTGAGCAACAAAATGAATATGATTAAGAATCAAATATACGTTGATCTGTTTGCATCCGATCAATATCTAATAAATTCAAGACTAGAAAAATGTGTTCCTCCTATTTTTCTTAATCATAAATATCCAAAGTTTGGAACCTGTAATAAGTTGCATGAAGTTCTCTCTTTTGTGGTTTACATATGAGCATAAACTTAACTTTATTAGGCATTGTATTACATATAAAACTCGTTATCGTGCTAAATTAACGCAACAAACAGAAACGTACCATAATGTGTGAGATTAAATGTATACGTGAAATCTCTTTCATCTTTATTCGTACTAATACTACGCCAATAATCTGTTTCTTCTCTACATACAATATGTACCATTACCCAAAGAAAGACCGGTATAGACAAAATGACAAAAATAAGAAGCCAAATCAATGTAGCCAAGTAGGCCAACCCCAACAACTGTAAATATACGTTATATCGAAAAGAAAGCATTGTATTAGACATAAATGATATTATTAGAATAGTACTTATGATATTACAAAAATTTAAAACTTAGGTTGTTATTTATATTACATAATCGGCCTTCTTTACACGGGATGAGTCTCGGAAGCGTAGTCTTCGATTCCAATACATATGATTGAAAAGAATTCAAAAGAGTGGTAGAATCTCACCTACTCATGCTTGACACTAGTTATGACTGGAGTTTTAAGATTATTATTTGGTGAATAATTTGTAAACATAGCAGAAACTTAAAGGAGTCAATTGCATCGAAACGCACTAATAACAACATCACGAAATACGATGCTGAATAACACCAACTTAGTACGGTTTTCGAGATTCCAGTTGATTACTGGTGTGTCTATAAATACTAAATCGACGTTTACAACCATCAAATGGGAAGCTACGGGCGTTAGAAAGTTTCCAATATACATAGACAGAGGGTTTTAGTCGATTAGGATTTCATCTAGTTTCTTCCAAAAACTTTGTCGAATGTCAAAAGATGAGTATGTGAAAATAGGATATAGCTGCGTTTTTTCAAAAAAGCTTGCCAAGCCCAAACAAAAAGTCCTGAAATGAAAATAACGAAGGCCGGATTACTCAGAAATAGAAAAATATTACGAAAGGACAGAAAATTATAACAGTCTAGGCATTAGTAAAGTTGCTTGTTGACCAAGGTTTAAATAAATAGACACTTGCAAAATTGATCAAAACCATTGAAGATGCGACAAACACGGGAAAGAAACATACAAGTGAAGTAAACGGAGCACACAAACATTATAACTTACAAATCGTGAAGAACGACGACCGCATAAAATGCCATGTTTGTTGGGATAGAATTTTGAGCGCGTGTCACCCGTTGTGACTGCTCCTACGATAACATTTATGATGCCAAAGATCATGGTTAAAACACACACAATTATTCCCAATGTTTGAAACATTTTCGGTCTGATTAGAAAATATGATAAACTTATATAAACCAAATGACTCGGAATTTTAGGAAAACATTGTTAAATGAATAAGTTTCGTTAGTTTATATATATATATATATATATATATATATATATATAAATTCCCACCCAAATGTCCAAAGTCAGTCAGTCAGCTATAACATAGGACCAGGCACATATATACATCGGTCCAAGTTGCCATACCGCATTAACACCGGATTCATAGAAGTAGTAACTCAATGGTCGTAATATATAAAAGAAAGATTGCATATTAGGACATAGTACAGGAAGAAAGATATGAAGCGAATTTAAGAGAAGACAAAGAGTGTATACACCTACGCTATTGTGGTCGATTCTGAGTCATGTCACCAAAAGTCTCCAACCATTGGTTACGAAAGTCACGCGGACCCCAACCAAGTAGTCTGCATCTACCAACATGGCTCAGATCAGAAGTTAGTGACTTCAAGAACTGATGCCATGTTTTGGTTTGGCCGCCTCCAACTTTCTGCTAACCATCCCCAACACCGGTTAGCATTGCGTGTCGTGGTCATAGGTGTCCAGGCATACGCAACACTTGGCCCAACCATCTCAGTCGATGAAGATTCACAACCTCATCAACTGATTTACCATCATTCCCTAATACCCTGCGTTTAACCTCACTATTACTTACCCTTCCACGACACTACTGAGTGGGTTATGTTTACACTAGGGTGTACATATACGTATTGCTTTGAAGTCATCAAACTTTATAAAATTTTACTTCCAGTAAAATAGTTACCAAACATTGCTAATGAAATATTATGCATTTGATAAAGTATATTAAATGAACCCCGAGTTGTCAGTTTAAACACTTCCGATTCCCGTAATCTAAAAGTTATGCTATTAACTGAAGATTTGAGCTTTAGAACGATTTTACACACAGGTGTTTTAATGGTGGCAAAGCTACATCAGTATCTGTATGACGATCCAAAAACATAAAAGCATGTTGTTTGTAATGAGACTAATAAATATAAGTGGTCACTCATTTCAACGCAACGCAGAACCTGGCACATCTATCTCGGTCTCAGTTATCATAACCTATTAGGATAGGGAAACTGTCTGGGCAAATTTCAGAGTAGCAAAAATAGTAACAGTATTAGCGAAAGTAGAAAACACTAAACATTGAAGATACGGTTCGAGGAATATAATTTAATGAGATAAAAATATATTCAAAGCTGGAATCTAGGGGGGAAATGAGTTTATTCTGTAGGAAACTAACAAAATCATCGTGATATATGGATTTTATGGGATGATTACCAATAGGGCTAAGCTAGGTGTTTATCGTAAACATTTACAGGTAGAAAACCGGTAACATCGACGAAATGAACACACCCTATCACATAAATCATTTTCCACGGTTTACGGGACTTCATCAGGAAACAAGACTTTGGAACGGGAGACAATACACATACGAAGAATTTGTGAATTAAGACAAGGGAATAATCAGAGTTTTATTTGTTTGGGATTTATCAACAAATAGTTATTAGCAACGGAACATATTTTGCAACTCGTATGATACAACAGCCATTGTATAGCCAAAAAATATCACATACTATGCAACAGTAATGATAATAGTCTAATTTGCCAAAGGAATTTTGACAAAAATCTCGTTAGGGCTAGTAAGAACCTAAATAACGACTGTTACTATTTTAATAACAAATGAGACTAGGACCTGTTCAGTTTAAATATCTTACTCGTCGACTGGGTAAAACCTGTTTTCGAAAAAGTCGTCTATACGTTTCAGAGCTTCGAAGTTCGTCCCACACATGATCCCCGAACCACACACGACCAAAATGAATCCAATTAGAGAAACAAACGGTACACGTTCTAGGCAACCATCTGAAATGAAATCCGAAAATTGTGAGGAATTTCCTACCCATTGTCTGACAACATACACAAGACTGGAATCTCCTACTTCTCGTCCCAGCAACAAACGTCCTTGATCGGAACACACCGCCAGCACTTAATATTCCAATGAAGAACTAGCTATCACTAAATTAAATCTGTGAACTAACATCTCGATGTAAAAAAGCGATCTTTTTTAAATTAAATAAAACCTTGAAAAGTTGGACTTTCCTTGCTCATGGTTTATTTGTCACTTACTCAAAAGTGAGTTGTTGAGAATAGAATATCAAATGGTTCAAATGGTTGTGGACGGAATAGAAGAAGCTTTCGCTTAACAGGCTTCCGTGTCTAGTAGCAGGGGATCACCAAATCCTCCAGACAGGAACCTAGGTATGTTAACAATAAAAGAGGAAAAGAAATTGGTAAATCATAGTGTGATACTATCCTTGGTCCTTAAGAATAGATCAAGTTGCCTCTTAAAGGACTCCTGGGAAGTCGCTTCGATTAGCTCGGCCGGCAGCGAATTCCAGCATTCGACAACTCTTAAGGAGTAAAAGTTTTGTCCACAGTCCGTTCTGCTATGTTGTGTCTCCAGCTTTTGGGTGTTTCCTCTTAGGTTAGCGTTGGAACTAAGCTTAAGTAGGTGTTTGAGAGGATGTCCAGAAGTGTTAAGGATACTGTAAGCCATCAGAAGGTCACCTCTAAGACGTATATACTCCAATGGGTAAAGGTTAAGTGAATGGGGGCGCTCTTCGTAAGGTTTAAATTTGAGTCCTCGAACAAATTTCGTGGCTCGCCGTTGGATACGCTCCAAAGTGTCCTTATCCTTTTGGAGTGAGGAGGGAAATACTATGTTTCCGTACTCTAAATGAGGACGGATAAAACTATTGAAGACTATATGGAAAGTTCTTCCGCCAAACTGGCCAAAAATGCGCTTCAATGTTACCATCGCAAGGTTTGCTCGAAAGGCATTTTTGTCAAAGTTGGCATACGACTTTAAATTGTAGGGCACCAGGATTCCTAAATCTTTTTCGACTTGGGATACTATTAGAGAGGAGTTTCCCAAGTTATAACTGTAGTCTGCGACATGACGCAGATGGAAGATAATTTCGTTTACCGGGCTTTTTTGCTGAGCAGAGATGGATGGTTTTGTGTAATTATAGATATATTGATGAACATATTAATTAGAGATGAGCAACCTTAAGGCCTCAGCTCCTATTTTAGCCCGTCAGCTTATCAGTTGGCAAATATAAATATTTGACTTCTGTTCTATGAATTAGGCCATGAATTTCAGAGTTCTGGCACTCTATTTGATGTCAGTTGGAAATAAAACTCTGATTTTGGCTACAGGCGGTTATTATGAATTTGATCTAAGAAAAGCTTCTGTTGTAGTGCCAGTGAAATGTCACTGAGCCCTAGCAAATCATCCGGCGGTTGAGTCACGAAATGTCCGACAGATCATCGATCCCTGCCAAGGTCAAGGACAACCAACGCGCATTACTTAGTCGTACGCCATGGGACAGTGGTCTTACTTTCGCTTGTATCTGCCTTAACTGATATATTTCTGTAATAACGTTCTCTGTGTTGTACAGTCTTCGAAGCATTTATGGTACCTTGATACGTCAATGGGGTAGTCCACGTAAGGTGCTGACCACGAGGTTTGCCTTCAATGTTAGCTGGTTCGTCACACCATCCCCGTCTATCTCGAGTAGGCCTCCGGTCATTTGACATAGATCATCAACGTTGGTGATCTACACTGTCATTATTTACATTTTTCAGAATTTTCTTTATTTTTTACAGTCACTGCTACTGAGAATAAACTGTTGTCTAAGTTTGATATCTGGTATTTTGGCACACGCTGCATGATGCACTGATCAATGTTCTAAAATTTTACAAATACCTGTGCTGCGAATTGATACCATTCATGTACCTACCACGTTGACAGACTGCTAGCACCACTATGACATAGGGCCCTTTGAAATGTCACTGATTATCAATGATTTACAGCACACAAGGTCTGGCTGGCTGTAAAGCAAGTCAGAAACATTGAGACTTGGCTCGCTAGTTCATTTTGTTTTTTTTATTTTCACCTAAACAACCGAAGCATTCCATATTTATAGTTATTATTATAATTGTTATCATGATTGATCTGCTGACGCATTGGATGCTCTTTTCCGCATTTCTTCTTCCAAATCTCTTTTTTCCTTCTCGTCAGATTTTATTCTAAGGCATAGTGTCCCGTATTGCACTTAGATGAACTAAATTTTCAGGTGAATTTTATCTTCACCATGTACATATGAACCGTACAAATTGATACTTTGCACTTCGAAGGTGCGAAGCTTAAACCATACCTACGGACACTGATTGCCAACTGATTAACCGCGGACTGCATGTCTTGGGCATTATCGCACAGTAAGACAATATCATCCGCATACTCAAGGTCGAGAAGTCTTTCTCCAGGCAACAGATCCACACCGCCATTACTTACATCCAACAGAGCTGTTTCCAGAATGTCGTCGATGGCAAAGTTGAAGAGGAATGGTGAGATTGGGCAACCCCGCCTAACCCCATTGTTCGAATGGAACAATGGAGAAAGGTGGTTGTATGCCCTCACTCTACCCAATTACCATGATATGGCCGAGAGTGGGGTGAGCCCGCCCTCCCTCTCGAAATGCTCTCACACGGTCACGCGTATACAGCCTCTGCCAAGGAAGTCCTACTCACTGCCTTCTTGTGGCATTACTGTTGTTTACGAAAACGAGAGGACGAAAAGCGAATGTCCGGCGCTTCAACCGGATCCCGAACCAATGGTGCGCATGTGCTCCAATATCTTGCGGGAACAAATGGTGTATGAACTAATCGTCTGTCACCGGCTACCATGGGACTGCATCTCCTCACGATGCTCCACTGTCTTGTGGGTTAGACCATTAGGTCAAAGGCTCGGGGTGTGGTCCCCTAAGAAAACCACCTGCTTCGGTTTGGGCACCCGGGCAGTATCACAGCCCACACACAATTAATGAACTGAACTGTCTATGATCATGGAAACTAATTCTCTTGCTTCGACGAACAATCAAATGATTCAAATATTATTATTATTATTATTATTACTATTATTATTATTATTTACTACATCATTATTCACCCTTTTTTATTCCTACTCTATCTATACTTATTTTTTTCGACTTATACAGCAGCTTGTCTATGGTGGAAATTTGACTATCTAAACGTTCTCGAGTCACTGTCCGGTTGAAAATTGTATGTCACCACCGAATACGAGAACTGAAGCAGTTTTTCTGAAACCACGTGCACCATTCAAACTGGCTGCCTTTTACGTTCGCACATTTATGCAGGTCGGACAACAGATAGGGCTGGCTATGTCTTTGGAAAGTCTTACTATCGACGTTTGTTGTCTATCTGAGACCCGTATTCAAGACTCTGGCGAAGTACTACAAATTCGATCTCCATCTGTCGCTTCAAAAAGCTTGTTTACGTGCGCTTATCCGGGGACTCTAGCAACAGCAGCTAGTATGGGTTTTATTTATTAACATGTCATACCTATGTCTGCTCCACTACTAAATGTTAAGCATTGTCTAGGTTTTATGTACAAGTGCCTTGTTGCTCCTTTGTTTATCTTTTGTTCAACATCACGACCTCAGTGCACAGCTATGGAGCTTACAAAACCTGGAACAAATTTAACACACACGCTTTCCAAGATCACAGCTCATGCCGAGTGCCCATTGAAGGCACATTATAACAACCACAAACTTTTTCAACAGTTGCATTGCATAAATACTCAGCACAGCCAGAATTCTAACACGATCATGCCGAGTTTGAATTTGGTGTTCAACGTGGACGTGATGCCATTTTGGGAAATATTTTTGAAAGGCTGTACTCAGTGTAATACTAAAACACAAAACTAGCAATTAACGCTCTAAGACATCTACATCGATGTACTGTCTTTTATTTCTGTTTATTTCAATTATTTGACATTCCTGATTGGTAAGCATTTCATATGCAATCCAATGTTGTAAATTATAGATAATGTCTGTAGGAATGATGTGTATCTGGCCTGGCAGAAATATGCTTTGATATTATTATATTACATTATATGTCACATAGTAAAGTTTCTTACCTGTTACCATCTGTTTAACACGTAATTTCAGGGTTGTCGAAGATAACTCATGTTGGTGGTCAATGACTTCTTTTCGAAGTTGGGTCAGTTTAGGAAAGTCGATTGCGTGGAGATTATTTAAGAATGGCATACGAGACGAGGCGTCTGCAACTACATTATTTGCCCCAGATATGGGTTGTACATCTGAATTAAACGGAGAAATGTCATCCAGCTGTTGTGACTAATGAGGGAAGCATTTGCCTTGAGACCAGATTAAAGAAAGGATGAGAGGTTTGTGGTCGGCAGTGTGAATGCTCTGCCTTCCACAGAGTGTTGGAATCGCCGCAGAACATAACACAAAGCTATGTGTTTCCTGCCGAAGTTGCCACACCTCAATTCAGTATCTTCCAGCTGTCTCGGGAAGGATATCAAAGGTTGTCATGTGTTGTTAACCGATTGTTGTGAGACTCCTCCGATCACCAAGTCAGATGCGTCTGCTGCGATACCAGTAAGTGCTTTGGCATCCTGATGTGTGAGCATTGTTGCTTTTGTGATAAGTTCCATAATTGTGGAGAATGGCTTTTTTCCGACGTTGTACAAATTGATAGGTTTCGCGTTCCCACGAATTTAGTCTGTTAAGGGTCTCATGAGAGACGCGTAATTAGTGTGAACCATCTATCATCAGGTCGTCAAAATTATGTACTATGTTCGCAATTAAATTGACTCATGGAACCATATATCCAAATTCTATCAGTCAGCAGAAACTTCAGGGACTTCTTACTTAATTTTGTGTACAAGGTACTGTTTTAACTGGGTCGTTTTGAAATATATATAATGTTTTGAATTATTTGAATCATAGCACGAACTAAGAGTCCCAGAAATAACGCAATTGAATTAAGAAGTGAGACACAAGCACAAACGAATGTATTGTATTTGGAATTCGAAATCAAGCATTCAACAAGTACAAAGGTATCATTAGTCCATTCAAACACCACATCCGCCACAGCTTAAATGTGAGTAAAAGTGTTTGTAATCGGTTTTACGTCTTCTTCTCAAGTT